GCCGTAGCTTAGCGCTTGAGGAAGCGTAATTTAGGTCATCGACCTTTCGTTCTTTACATGAATCAATACGAGTGTAGCGGATCGCAATCCGCTACCTCCAAGAGTAGTAAGTACCTTCACTAAGGCTTATAGACTCTTCGGTTTAAATTCAAAACAGATTTTCATTTATATTTATCTGCGGCTAAATCGCCTAATTTTTAATGTATAGATATATAATAAAGTCTAAATACATGCATAACTACTGGCTACCTTGCCACATACCGAATTCTTGTTTGGGTGGATTTACACCATGCACATCTCGTGTGACACACACCCCTGTTACCAGGGTACGTGTAAACCCGTTATTTGCACATTCTAGCTTTCTGCAATAGCGTTGCGCACTCGGCCAATGACACTCATTGTCATTACGATGAGAATTAAAGCTAAGTCTTATTTGGTTGAGCCAGCCAGATCACATCTAATCGCCAGTCCTTCCACACTAACACCAGAGCTACTCCGTGGAGGTCGTAAAGGCACCCGGCGGTTCATCAAACCGTTTTTGTACGATAAGGTAAATCCGTAGCGGTATGAACTGCGTAGTTCGACGCAAACTGGTCGCTCCGCGCAAGTGTTGCAGACATTATCACTCGCAACGCAATTCACACGTTTTGTCTGGATGTTTGTTTGCGGGAGATTAGAGGTGAAATCTAACCGGTTAAATGCCAAGTACCTCAAGCAATGGATGCCAAAATGTTGCTGTAAAGCGTGGTTCTCTTTTCGCGACATGCTGGCAAGTTTGAGAAACACTTTGCTATAAAAGCGTGGCTGTATCCTCATCGGTCATATTATCGCTGACAAAAACATGATGAGCCAGCTTGTTTTGTCAGTCTACAGAGCCCATAATGGTGGTATGAACGGGCGCGTCATTACAAAGGCAGAATAAGATATATACGAATGTACTACCAACACCCTGCTGAAACAGGCAAGCTGATCAAATGTTGCGACGCATGCCGCAGAGGTTTAATACGATGGCTCATTTAACATCCACTACCACATGTTGGGATACCGAAACATAGCTCTCCAAGCAGTATGTCATCTCTCTACATATCGTGTGCATCGTACAATATTCTGAGCTTGAAATCTCCATCGTAAGGCACCACTGCACGCTGAGCGTCAAGAAGAATAGTGCTGCAATACTCCAAGCAATGCAGACGATCAAACCGTGTTGTCGAATAAAATTAGAGCTGAACTATCAAAAGCCATGCTTCAAAGGTTTTCAGTGGCGCAACACTGTTTGTGTGTGAGCCGTGCGCGGTACGTAGTGCCTCATCGGTTGGCGACATCATGATCGTGAAGTGTGACGATTCGTAGTCGGGCGTCTTGAAAATATCTCCACCACCATATTACGCCGACTCTACTTGCTTCTTACCTGATGAATACTCGGCAAAGTAGGACAGCCATCTTGCTATTCTTTGTGAACGATCTGATAACAAACTTGCTGTGCGCAACAACGTATGATCTATGTAGATCGCAATAATTTTGATTCAACCAGATGTTCCCTGAAATCGCCGAGGGCATACTTCAAACCAAATTTTGTTTGTCAGAACTAAATAAATCATTTTTACTGCTTTATACTGGTGAAACTCAAACTCTAAGTATGATAGATCCTACTGTAAGGGCTGCATCGTCACAAATGACATAAATCGGTTGAGCTCAAGTCTGAAATGTCAAGATCGGGTTACGCATTTGCATTTCTCACAACCTTGTAATCTGTCTCTACCCGACAACACCAATATATTCTTTGTAAGGAAATTGGCGAGGTGCCGTGACAGATCAGCACCCTGTGTCTTGTACTTGTGCGAGTAGTTGGCCAAGCACTTCTTCAAGTCTTTTTGAGACAGAGACACTAACCAATATACGATAGCATTTTTTGCGGGATCTGCTTGCAGGCCGTGCATACCGAGGTTCTAACCTTAAACAGGATTGATTTGACGCCAAGGACACATTGGTCTGTATCGGCGAATAGAATTTATGAGCCACACACTCGAGTATAGTTTGCTAGTGTTTAATGTGATGTTCCACATCAGACGTCCGTGTTGCATAGCACTGTGGACCGACATATCGTTAGAATCGGCTTGAATACAGCTAAGATTTGACTCGGAAAAATATGTGACCGGAAACTCGAATATCGCTGGTACATCAGACAGCCCCTGAGGCAAAATCAGCCAGGCTCAGAGCATCCACTCGGAGTACTCTCAGCAGTGAGATAGATATCGCTGCCACTTATGAGCAGTTGATGATTTTAATCAGTCAAATTGAGAGTACCAAACAAATTGCAATCGACAGTGCTCTTCTACAGCACATGCATTATAAGTATCGATTTTTCCGCTGGAATCGTGGGTGCAGTGGGCTTATTCAAGCATGCCTTTCTGATACAAAAACTGGCAACGGGTGAGTGAATTTACGCTCTCACACCAGATCTAACTTGTACTTCGGACGGACGGAAAAGTTTTAGGGTTATTCCATATGACGTAATATCTGGCTTCGAATAATGAGCCTATTTCAGAACCCTCTCCTCTATTCGGGGGCAACACGCGTTGTGGGTATTTTTTCTCAAATAAAAGAGAAAATCCAAGAGGAAAGCTGTTATCCGCCTCCAGCTCAGTTACTTTCCAGTGCTTATTCCTTTTTGACGGAGGATGAGCTCAAATCCTCACCTAGTTCCAGCCACACCATTTCGGTGACTTCACTGAATTCCTATTACCCACACATATCCTTAGATTATTTTTCATTTAATTTTGAATGACTCACTGCTGAAAGCAGTGCCGAAAAACTTATAATCCCACGGACCACCTCGCTTGTAATTACTTACCCGTGAAACTTCGCTGCTCCAACGTCACATCTGGCCCTTATACTCGCCATTTGTAGCCCCACATTTCTTGTAACGTTCTAGTAACGTCCTACCTAGAATGCGATCTTAACTTCAATCCAACTCATGGGTAAGACATCAAAAGTGAAGAGAATCAAGTACCACTTTTTTCAATGGTGACGGCTGTCGCATCAAAAAGATGTTTACCGCCATCGCAAGGAGACTAATAATCGAATCCTGATCAAACTACGTTAATGCTCGCTTTTCTTGACGGGAGGACAGGAACTTGGTTTGTACCTAATCTGCCTGATTAAGCGAATTAAACACTTGCGACATATGTCGCTTTGAACATTTATTTCTAAGTGAGAAATAGTTACTGTACGATACTACCCATTGTCGTACACGCCTTCCTAGCTTGGAGTCAGAAAGCGTGGTGTGCTGTTGCTAAGCGTCGGCGAATTTAAACTTCGTTTAAACCTTTACATCAAAAGTTGTAACCCCTGCTTTTTCGCCCGAATATATGTACTTCGGGTATCAGCGCCTGCTTGATCCATTAGCGTTAGATACTCTCAGATTTGCTCCTGGATAGAGCGTAAAGAACGGCTCTGTGCATTTGTTAACGCGGACTTTTTAAGTGGAAATTAAATTTGTTCAAGGTCCCGGTGCACTTTGTAACACTTGTAGGTAACTCAATGACCAAAATGTAAAAATTATTGCTCTTTCTCTGGGGATTAAATAAGAAATGCACGTCCACAAAGTTCTCAAATACGCGTGGGAAGCTTGTGTTTACCTTGACCAGGAAATTGACAGCTCAAGAGCCGAATGCGGAAGCCGCTGGCTTGTTGCGTTCAACGGCTATAAAATACACTGGTAAGGCATCTCCTGGTAATAATGGCTAGGCATCGTTCATCTATAAAACTACTAAGCTCTATTGTACCTCGTGGAAGTCGAAATCAATACGACACAGTCCCAAATCTCAGTGGGAGCTGGGAGACACAATCCAAGGTTTTTGGTTGTTAACATCATCACCCCAAGCATTGTGAAGCTGCCGTGGAAATCCTGACAGATCTTCAATGGTCGTGCAATTACGTTTAATTTGAGCCTTTCTAACACAATGAACGGCGCTCGAACGCTCTAAAAAACAGATACGGATACAATATTTCTGTGTCTTGATACGGAGACTTTAGTGAAGTCTCAGAGTTATGTTGACCCTTGAGTGAACACCAAAAAAGTTGGGAGCTTAACCGCTGTCTAACCTGGACTAAGATCTGAGATATAATTTTACGAAGTAGCATAAGCACCATGAGGCATGAATCGACTACACGTCTAAAAGGATAGATACGACGCACTTTTCTCCAAGTAGGATTTGGTGATCCATGAACCTACCTCTACCATGAAACAGATAAACACTTGGCGCAGATATAAAGCTACGATGGTGTGAGATGCGGGATAGCTGTATGCAAGAGTATTTTTATCCCTAGTTCACGAAATACTGCAACGTGACAATAGACCGATCACATGTGTAGATTCCAGATTGAAGAGTGTGTCGTGAGATTTGTCTGGTCACTGGAACAGAAGTACTGTGTCAAACGACTATGGAGCTTACTTATGAAACAGTGTGAAGTCATAAATGCGTTATTTTTGTGCGGACCACGAACGAGAAAGGGGATTATTACACTACTTAGCACCGACTTTTAGTGTCAGAAAAGCTAACAGCAAGTGGCAAACTGTGCATATAAAGAATAATGTAAATGCGACCACGGTCACGGCGAATACGCCGATTTTAAAGCACGATGAAACACAAAAACGAATGATCGGCTGCGCTTTGTTCGTGATCTTTGTC